CGGGTTAGAGTGAGGCCCGGGTCCCATTTCCTGTCCTCCTTCACCGCTGTGTGAGTGTGAGCAAGCCACTTGCCAGCTCGATTGGAGCTTGGCTGAGATGACCCGGTAAGGCCGTGGTGGGGTTCTTGGCTCAGGACATCAGCGAGCATGCCTGTCACTGTCATCAGCACCACTCCCTTTAATGCCAGGGCGATCACGGCCACCATCACTGTCGTCATCCTTGTCCTGCTCACCGTCCCGCCCTCCTGGCCTTCCTGCTACCTCTCTGCCCACTCCTCAGCCCCCTTTACCCCCTTTACAGGCTCTCTTCCTCTTCCAGACCCTTAACATCGGGGTTCTTGAGGGTTCTCTTCCTACCTGTTTCCCTTCTCTCTTTACACATTCTCCCTAGATAATCTCACCGGTGGGAGTCATGTATCAGCCATTGCTGATGACCCCAAATCCGTAACTTTAACCCAGATCTCTCTTCTGAGCCTCACGCCTTGCATCCTGCTCTGCGCTAGACATCTCCCCTTGACTGTCCCGACGGCCCTTCCAACCACAACTCTGCACCTTTCTCTCCCCAAGCTTGTTTGCTCTGGTACCGCTCTCCACTCTGTTCCCAGCGCTAGAAGACGGGATGTCATCCCCGAGTGTACTCGTCCCCCATCCTCCAGTGTCTGACCAATGTATTATGCTCATCGCACCTCTAAACTGGGAGATCCACGCAGGTAGAAACCATATTCGAAGTGTAATCTCAGTGCCAACCACGATGCTCCTACATAATTATTGAACGAGTTAGCAGAGGGATGAATGAGACTGGAATACACCCCCTTCCCTCTGTTCGCATTGCTTCGTCTGCAGTTGGGCACTGTGAGTTCTCCCCGACTCACTGACTCAGGATTGAGAAATCCCCTGTGGTTGAAAAAGCCTCTCGGGTTTTCCTGCTTCTGTGGCTGCAGTTCCTGCTCACAACACCAGTGTGATTCACTGTCCACACTGCAGCAAGGAAGAATTTTTATAAAAACCAGGAATCAGAGCATGATCATGCCTCTCCCCTGCTTGACGTCCTTCAGCACGTGGATAACCATGCTGATTGGATGCCCAGGTTCACACGGTTGCCTTAGCATGCTCAGCAGCTCTGCACTGTCCTGGGCTGGACAGCAGTCTGAGAGCACCCTGCACCTAACCACCCACCCTCTCAGCCCCTCCACACATCTACACGGACCTTGCGAGAAGCTCTCCAGTGTGTGGTACACACTGCTCCCACTTGCTCTTCCTTCTGCCTGGCTGTCCCCCTGCCCTGCCTGGCCAACCCCTGTCATCTGGGCTCAGGCTGGGTGATGTGATGGAGGCATCTTCTCTGGCCCAGACTCTGTCAGGTACTTCCTGTGTTCCAGAGCTCACTGCATTTCTCCATCCCGGCTCTCTCTCACATTGCTGCCTTCCTTGCCCGTTAACTTCTATCCACTCCCTGCTAGACTGAGCTGGTCAGGTAGGTCAGTGCTGACATCTGCTCATGGCACTGTTGAATTCTGGTGCTAAACCCAGGGCCCGCCTCCTAGAAGGAGATATTTGCTCAACAGATATTTGCTGCACAGTGAAAAAAGTATCTCGTGGCAGAAGAATGGTCCAGCTATGCATGCAGAAAGATTTCACTCTAACAAATGTTGCAGGAAATGTCTGACACTGTGGCTATAAACAGAATGCCGTCTTCTCCTCCCGTCTGTCTCCCTGCCCATCGTGTTTGTGATAGTGAGGGAAATGATTCTCATTCCTTTGGTGGAAAGTTCATTCTGGGGCAGGATTTGGTGTCGGTACACACTGTCAATTCCAGGAAGTCTTATAGGTGATGACGTTGCAAAACAAAGCAAAAACAGACATTTGCCAGCCTTATCAAGCCGTGAAGCTCCTTTCATTTCAACTATGTAGGAGAGATGGCGTGTTTGGGGGTGGGTTTCTTTTGTTTTTTTGGTACCGGGGATCGAACTCGGGACCTTGTGCTTGCAAGGCAGGAGCTGGAACCCCTGAGCTAAATCCCCGGCCTAGGAGAGGTGGGTTTTAAAGTTAGTTACTTTGAAGTTAAAATTAAATCTTTATTATTTTAACAAATTGTAGTTTAAGTTCCAAATTCTATTCTTACACTTTAGAACAAATATGAAATAGCTCATACTTCCAATATGATTATGTGTATTGTGTTATTTGTAAATTTGAAATTGTATGCTTTGAGCTGTTGATTCTTACATTGTTAATTGATCCACCAAAGAACCCTAACATCATAGTATTTTGTCCCACATACACTGACCAGAAAGGATTTCTGTACTTATCTGAGGATTTCTATACTTGTCTGTGGCATCATTGTATCAAATAAAATAGAAGGTTAAGAGTGTTTTTTTCCAAACCAAACAACTTTGGTGTTTTTCTGATCTTAGTAGCAATACACATTCTGTACAAATAGAGTCAGAAAATATAAAGAAGAAAATAAAACCCATCTGAAATCCCACTTGGGGTTATGATGTTAAATATTGTAGAGTGTGTGTTTTTAGGCCTCTCTCCCTGTCTATGCCACCACCATGCCAATACAGCCCGGTGGATTTCCGTCTCGCTCAGGGAAAACGTCAGCATCCTGAGGACAGCTGCCTGCCAGCTCTCTCCGCACCCTGGCCGACAGCGCGCCCTGGTGCTGCAGACTTTTCCAGGCCTGGAGCCCACTTGTCCACGCCCACTCGATCCTCCGTCCTCCCACACCTTTGTCTGTGTTAGTTTTCTTCTCCATTGTTTTGTTTTGTTTTGTTTTGTTGTACCAGGGATCGAACTCCGGGCTTTGTGCTTGTGAGGCAGGTGCTGGAACCACTGAACTAAATCCCCGGTTGTGTTAATTTTGTTGTTCTCATTCAGCACTAACTTTTTTTTTGTCCATAGTACAGTATATTCGTTAACTTGAGTTTTACAAAACATCAAATATAAATAACCTGAAAATGTAACAATACACAAAAATTGGCTTCTTACACAGACATATCAGGCAGTAAAAACTGAAAATCTGAGTAAATTAACATTGTTTTACATTAATATACATAGCGCCATTTAAAATTTAAAATCAGGTTTCAGTGCATAGCACTTGATATTTCTTTGAGTCTGTCTCAGGTAAGAGTATGAAAATGGTTAGATCTAGGCTAAAAATAATTCTTCTTTTAGCCAAAAATAAAGGCATAATATTTATAACCAGGTATCAACTTTACTAAACCACAATATTTTTAAACTCTTAAATGATACCTAAGAATATTTACATTAAAAAGACAACATGCATTGTGTTGTTTTATCTCTTAACTGGTTATGCACACAATTTGTTAGAAGGGTTTAAAAACTGTTTACCTACTTTCAGTACAGCATACTGCAATGTTTCTAATAGTTCTAGCAAAATGAATGCTTTCAAAGGGAGCAGAATCACTTTCAAGTCACTGGTGTCAGTTTTCCCTTTGGAACAAAGGACATAACAACTGGTCTGGTTGTGCCCAGATGAGCTGACAGAGTAAGGGTTTTTGTTCAGTCTAATGCTGTGGCATCATCAGGCTCTTCCCTCTGTTCCATATGAGACCTCTTTGCACTGATAGTCCCTTTCTCATCTAATTTCCTCTTGTGGTTTCTCCCGTCTTCATTACTGTCAGCATTATTTGAAGGACCTTCTTCGTCTGAGTCAGCTATGAGCACATCATCTTGCTCTTGAGCTGCAGAGGTAGAAGGCTGGGCTCCATCACTGCTGCCATCGGTGATGCTTTTGGTGGCATCTTCAGCTTGTTTGGGTCCTACTTTATCTGGGGCCTCACCCACAACTTTGAATTCAACATCCTTCCCTAGGTCTTCACTATGAAGGATGCTGATCAATAAAGTGTAGTCCTGAAGGAAATCATCGGCTTGAAGTCGGCTGCCATTTTTAATTCTGTCTCTTCTTCTTCTGAAGATACTAGGATTGTTCCTTTTCCATCTTCAGTTTGAACCTCTGGTGCAACCATAGCAAATTTCTCTTTCACTGTCTCGTAAGGTGAGAACAGTCACTTTGTGGACATTCAGCCGTACAGTCCCGCTGGCTTGCTGCCACATACATAACAGTTGGGATTGGGAGGATGCAGTGCACAGGGCACAAGAAGCTCCTTTCTCGGGTTTGGTTGCTTATTCAAAAAAATATTTTATACTGAATCTGCTCTTCATATTCATACTGAAAATATGTGTCCTGAGGTTTGCCGCAGAGGTGACAAAATCCATTGCAGATGAGTCATCCTTATCCCATATGAGCTCAGCTCCATCCCCTTTTTCAGCTAAATGAACGCTCAAAGTCTCAATGCTCTTTGAAAAAAGACGTGCATAGTTCTTCACATCTAGAACCTGCTGGTCTTTCAGACCTAACTGGGGTTCATTTTGTTGATTTGATGCGTTGGTTTCCGCTCCTAAAAAATAAAATAAAATAAAATGAGAAACTTCAGTAATAAATACCATTTCTCCACTGGGTTCCATTGAACAAATTCAATCCTTCCCAGCACTCACTTTTCTGTTTTGAGACAGGGACTCAATATGTAGTTTAGGCCAATTTTGAACCCACTGTGTAGCCCAGGCTGGTCTCAAACTCTCAGCAATCCTCCCGCTTCAGCCTCCTAAGAGCTGGGATTATAGTCATGGGCCACCACACTGGGCTTTCAGCACTCACTTGAAACACCACCTCCTAGAAGAGGGCCTCCCTGGCCATTACCAATTCATTAGGCAAACACGAATTTAGCATATCTTCCTGGATAGGTAGACCTGGGAGTCTTCTTTTTGTGAACAGTAAATGCCAAGATGACCTTGAAGTTTAAATACTTTAGCATATTTGCTTTAGATAGGCTTTACTTTATTTCTTATATTGCCAATAAGCTTCATAATTTCTTACGCTTTTGAAGCCTGCATTCTCATTTAATGCCCACATCAGTATCGAGAGTACAGTCCCCTTTGTGAGGTTGGACTTAACAACTGCGCTTTCTTTTTCCCTGCAGCTTTTGGAAAGAACCAACACTGGGTGTGAAGGGTCCGACTCCGGTGCTACCAAGAGTCCTCTGCACTTAGCTGTAAGTGAGAGGCCATGGGCCGCTTCCCTGTTACAGAGAGAGTCTAACCACCCCGACACTAGGCTGCTCCGTGACAGCGAGTGCTGGGGGTGAGGAGGGCCGTGCTTGCTGAGAGGCACAGGCTGGCAGAGGACGCCATGCCCTGCCACGCCCCTTCCTGGCTGCTGACCAAGACACATCGCCCACCCTGCCTTCCCTTTCCCATCCGTAAAATGAGAGCAGACAGAGAGAGATGGTGCACATAAAGTCTCTGCCACGATGTACCTCGTGGATTTGTTATAAATTTTAAGCATCTTTAAAGCTCATAGACAACATTTCACTTTAAGAGGTCTGATTATAAATGATACAGAAATGTCAAACCTAGAAATAATCAACTATGACATTTTTAAATACACAAGTAAAACCTGTTGGAATTTTTAAGCACAGACTTGCTGGAGGGAGGTGAGCAAGTGAGGAACTTCAACTGGGCTTTGACATCTGGCTCTTGGAGAAGGTTGTGGGCCCCCACTCTTGTGCTGGGTGACATCAGGAGGGAACAGGAAGAGGAGCTGTCTTACCCCCATGGCACTTCCTCTGCACATCCCTATGATCGAGGGGAAGTGTGACAGCTCTGTGAATAACCCCCCAACTCTTCAGGGGCACCTGGTGGGAACCGCTCCCTGATCCGCCCCCGGCTCCTCTTGATGATGGTGGGTGCCCAGCAGCTGTTCCACCACAGCCATTCCCAGCCACAGACGCTCACCTGGCCCAGGTGCTGCTGAGCTATGAGCACAGAGGTGGTGCTAGGATGCTTCTTTGCTTGGTAAAACCCAGGACAGGCCACTGGGAAGGACAGGAGGGAACTGGTCTACCTTTAACTGTTATTATATTCCATACTGCCATATGCAAGCACTTCCCTATTGTCCTGACAAAGAACAGGCAGAGTTTGGCGCGAGGAGAAGAGTTGTGTGAATAGGCGCTCATGGGCATCCACACAGGGCAGAGGAGACAGGCCTTCCACAAAGGTCAGGAGTACCCATGAACCATTCTGCCACGCGGACCCTCACACCTGCTGACCCTGTCCAGCACAGCCACTCCCTACAGTGCCCAAATGCACACACACATCTCAAGTGCAGTAGAACTGTCCATCTTTGCTCCGCACAGAGAGCAGGCAGTGGACAGTGGGACGTTGTACCTAGAAGGCTTTACACCTCTAGCTGCTGGTGCGGCTTGCTGTAATGTTTGCTCCCAGAGTCCCTGCGGGCCGCCTCTGTCCCTGGGTGTGTTCCCCAGAGGCGAATGTCCCCTAACGCAGCCCTGGGTCCTGGGAGAGGCCTGGGTGGAGCTTGTCTTGGACAGAGTTCTCCTGCCCTTTCAGAGTGGGGCTGATGGAGAAGAGGTTTTTGGCTTCCAAAAATTCTGTCCTCTTTCGTTCATTTTTCCCCAAAATCATCTGTTGAGTGCTAAGTGTGCGCCACCATCGTGCAGGGCTGTGTGGGTCTCTAGTCCCAGAAAGGTGGGGTGGTGACACCCTGGGAGGTCTGGCTCTGGTGGCTCCGTGGCTCGCAGGGACAGCACGGGAGCCCTGCTCCACTCCTCTCACTGCCAGCTCACCTGGACGAGGTTCTCCCGCCTGCACACGAGGGCCGTGGGTCAGAGAAGCACGCAAGAGCCCTTCCGGTTCTTACGTAACTGTCAGCTGTGTGGTCTTGGCCAACACCTAGCCATCGGGTCAGGGACAGCTGTGTCCATGCACATGCAGCACCTAGCGCAGCACTCAGGTGCACATATGCAGTCAGCCAGCTTCACCCCGTCAGGACCGACACGAGCAGTGGGCGCTGTTCCTCCTTCCACCCACACTGTCTCCTGGGAGTGGGGGACGTCACGGGAGAGGAAACCCAGCCTCTTTCCGTGCAGTTCTCACCTGTACAGCGTGGCAGATGGCAGTGAGTGTGAGACAGAGAGCGTGAGGCAGCAGACCAGGTGCTACTTGACACACACGCATGGAGTCTCACCTTTGAGGGCTCACACCCAAGGCTGACAGAAGAGGATCCCGGCACAGGTGCAGCGCAGCCAGGCTGACATTTGCTTGGCGTGTGCACAGGACAGCAAAGGCCCTCTGGGATGGGCAGGGTGGCGGGGAGCTGTGACACACTGCAGAGGGACCAGACCCCCAGGGCCCTGCTGTCCTTTGGAAGAACTTTGCATTTTACTCTGAGCTCACCAGAAGCCATTGGGACAGTTTTGAGGAGACAAATGATGTGAAAGGACTTGGTTTCAAGGGGGTCACCTTAACATCTATGCTAAATTCTAAAGGCTCAGACTCAGAGGCCAGGCAGCCAGGCAAGAGCTGCTGGTGATGATGTGCCCAGGGGATGACAGCGGTTTGCTCTAAAGTTGTCTGCTTTTCTCCCTCTAAATGCTAACACTTTTTAAAGAAAGGTTTCAGGAAGCCCACAAATGTGTCCATCACCCTTCCTGGGGCCTTGAGGGCAGTGAGCACCGTAAAACCCACAGCTCAGGCAGAAGCATCTCAGCAGGGAAATGGAGCAGACACCCCAAGCCCACCTGCTGCAAGAGGCCTGGCCTGCCTGGAGTTACTTATTTCCTGGCTCAATGATTCCAGTTTCCAGAGTTACTGGGCTAGTAAATTTCACCAGCATTCCCTCCGTGTGAAAAAATGAAATTAAGAAACAAGATTATGCAAATGAAAGCCTCCAGCTGTAGAGATTTCCACATGGACCCAGGAAATTGCATGGGTTCCACTGAGACCCTCACTCACTGTCCTTGGTCCTATCTAAAAAGGTTCAGAGAAGTTGCTCATGGTGAGACTTTCCCATTACCGAATGAAGTGTTTTAGAGAGGTTTTGCTAAGTGTGATTGGGACCACCAGTGAGGTCTTCATCCATAACGAGCGAGAGCCAGGGGCTGTGAGCCAGAGTAACGGGAAGAACAAGCAGAATTTTGTAGTGCCCTGGCTTTCCAGCGTCCTGTCTTTCAGGGCATTTTCAAGGGCCTGGTACAGAAGAAAGTAGGGGTTAGAATTCCAAAGCAACCCTAATTACCAGGGTTCTGTTCATTTTAATATTAGACCTCTTTAACTGTAGCACAAGCACATGGTTTTCTTTGTTGTGAGGATAGAGGGTGAGGTGTAGGACCTGGCTCCGGGTAAGTTTGTTCGTCAGCACCTAGCGTGAGTGCCCTGTGAAGGGACCGTTGTCCTGACAGTGCTGGCTCCTTCCTTCTGGCTCCTTCCTGAACGTTTCTCCTTCCCCCAGGTATCTTCCTTTTATTGAATCTAAATATGTCAGCCACCACGCTTTGTATAGATGTGTGTATCGTAAGCTGCCAGTTCGTTTTCCTAGCTAAGTTGCATTAACAGAAATTAAGCTGTCTGCTGTCCTTGTCATAATAGAGCCTCGCATTTGCAAATAGCATCTAGAACTGCTGCTGTCTATACGAGCTCATTCCCTGTGGCATAGATTTGTGATTTCTATATAAACTAAGTCAGTGACTAGGGCAAAAATTGAAAATGGGCAGAAATGTTATGCAAAGTCGGTTTTCAAATGAGAAGAGATTCAAGCTGTGAGTGCAGGATAGTATGCTGATTGACACCTCAGTGTAGATGCTTCTGTTACCGTGGCCTTTCTGTGAGATTAGGTTCCCAGACTGACTTTGAATCGGCTCTGTCGGAAGCTGGGGAAGGGATCGTGGGAATTCATCGAACTCTCTTCTCTTCTTTGTAGATGTTTGAAATTTCCTATGATGAAAAGTTAAGGAGGCCCCGTGCCTGATGGCCATATGTCTCATTTCATATTTGCTTTTAAAAAGCCCAGAACTTGGCTCCTCCCCCCAGAACCCAGCTCCCCACTCTAGGCCGAGGACCATGGCAGAGCTGCGTCCTCATTAGCAATTGAGAAGGAGAGTGCCCCGCCCCAGACTGTCCGGAGAATTAAGTGAGGTAATGAATGTCCAAGGCGACACGTGTCCTTTCACCCAGTGAGTCATCAGGAGAAGGTAGCTACTGCGTGAGGATTCAGGATAGACGAAAGGCTTCCTGGCCCACATCAGAGGGCTGGCACAGCAGGTATGTGGGGGTGATTGAAAAATATGTGAGTGCTGAAATTTTAAAAATTATTACACCAAAAGCTACATTACCATGAATCCTTCTCAAAGTACTAACTTACCTTAAACACCCTTACCTCGTCATTCTTGCCACCTTCTGAAGCTGTTTTGGAAATTCTCCTCATGAGTGTCTGTATTTTCACTGTCCCGGCTGCCTCCATGTCCTGAATCAATCCAAAACGTTTCCCTCTCTTGGTCATTTTGATTCAGGCAAGAGCCAGAAGTTGCATTGTGCCTGACCAGTGAATAAGTTGGGTGTTTTGCGAGCCCGCCTTTTTGTTGGCTGGCACTCGGCAGCAGGACTCGTTGTATGTTTTATCACACTTCACAAAGACGCTCATGAGAGAGGACTATAGGACTGCTTCTGAAAGTAGCAACAAGGATGGGATGAGTGTGTTTGAAGCCAGGGGAGGATTTTGAGAGGGAGTCATGGCAATGTGTTCTTTTTTATTGTAATGCATTTTTTTAATTGAGACAGTCACCGTATATTTCGATCACCCCCTGTAAGTCAGAAAGAGAGATGTAAGGAATTAATTTTCCTGTCTCAAGAGAGTCCGTGTGTAGAGTAAAAGAATAGTGGTCCAGAAGTTAGTCTCCACCCTGCACCGTTTGGCTTCAGAGCTCTGTTCACAGCATTTCCCCTCTGTGCTGAGCTGTCTATAGAAGGGGCTTGGGTTTTGACTCAATATTTCATACTCTGTTCTAGTACATGTAAACACAAAAGTATTTAGTTTTTAAATTAGTTAAATGGAATTACAGAGAAAAAGTGTGTGCCTAAATTATGTTTTAGGTGATAGATTATGGGCTCAGGATTGCAAGTTCAATTCAGCGTAGGCAACATAGCAAGACCCTGTCTCAGAAAAACAAAAAACACTGTTGAAGAAACATATTTCTATAACTAATAGGATAAATGATAGTTGTCTTTACATTCATTCATGTATTCATCAAATAATTGTTGAGCGTCTACAATGTGCCAGGTATGATCTTCGGATACAGCAGCCCATGCAGAGTCCCTTCAATCCCAGACAAGAAACAAACCAACAGATATGTAACAGTGATATCAGGGCCCTTGAGAGTGGCATGGGGGTCATATGGCACCTCTGTGTGAATTAGCACAGGCACACAGTGGCTGTTCTCCAGTGCCAGGGCACCACAAGGTTGGGGAGACCTAGTTTTGAGCACCCACTTGCGCTCTTGTCCCTGAATGCTTGCTCAGAGCTATAGCGTTGGGCTCCAGAAGAGGGAGGATAAAGATGATTCCCAGGCTTGAGGCCTGAGCAGTTGTCTTCACTGAGAAGGCTGCAGACAGGTGAGCGGCTTTAGGAAAGCGAAGTCAGAAGTCAGTTTCTGAAGCCTGTTGAACACTCAGATGGGAAAACCAAAAGGCCATTGGAGATGCAGATCTAGTCATCAGGGGAGAAATTGGGGCTGGGATATAAATTTGGGAGTCATTAGCGTATGGGTTATTACATCACACTTATATTAACACCTATTATGTGTTATGTATAATGCAGATGTTTAGTATATAAAAATAGCTCTCATTTTTTTTCTTTTTTTTTTTTGGTACCGGGGATCGAACTCGGGTCCTTGTGCTTGTGAGGCAGGTGCCAGAACCACTGAGCTAAATCCCCGGCCAGCTCTAATCTTTAACAAAGAATGTCATGAGAATTTTTAAAAAATTTATTAGTACTCTAATTCCTATTGATTCTTTTAAATCTCATTTTTGTTGTTAGCATATACTCAGGGAGAAACATTTTAATCAGTTTTAAGAAGGTAAGATGAAAAAAGTCCATATGCCTGTCTCCCAGAACAAGGCATAAGCACCCTAATAGTTCTTCAGGATCCTTCTAAATGTTTATGAATATAAAAGCATACATAAGAATAGATGTGTGTGTATATGTCCATGCATTTGCTTTTTGTATAAATGACACCATGCCATGTATGCTGCCTGCAGCTGAGCCTCTTTTTAAACACTCTTGATAGATTCTGTCAAATCATCCTCCACTGATGTCACACCAGCCAATGCCCCCACCAACAGAGCCATCAGATTACTTTGTTCACAGTTGGAACTAATATTAGACGTGACCCAACTTTTTAATCATTGCCAATCTGGGAGGTGAAAAATAGTACTTGAAATTTTTACACATTTTTTTCTGTATGTCTGTTGGCTTTTTTAGACCTTTTCCTAGTTTCAGAATGGTTTCTAAGAGCTCTTTTTATAATAAGGAAATCAATCCTTTGTGTGAAGTCTTTTTTCAAATAAACTGAACATTGAATAAAGCTGCAGTGAGAAATTAAATGTGCGGGGAACTTTGCCGGAGACCTGGGGACAGGCTTTTGCTGTCTGTCTCTTGCTTTACTTTCTTTCCAACCCACTTTTCTTCCCAGATAACCTCATCCTCCGCTTTTACTTTCAATGTCCTTGTCTGTGCGTACCTGTGCATGTGCATGTGTGTACAGGGGTGTGTTGGAGCATGTTTACACTTTCTTACGGTAGAGACTGAATAAAAATTGTCTTTCAGACTTTTAGTCTTGTTTTCTAGTAGCATGCAGCCCCTTCATCTTGATCTAGTGTGGGACCTCTTGCTAGATCTGCACACGCGTGGTATATATTTCCAACACTGAGTCTACATTTCATTAGAATCAGTGGAAGAAATAAAGGAGGGATGAAAAAGCATCAGCTACACACAAGATACTATACAAAGCCTGTGGCAATTTGTCTCTTCTCCTTAATAAAAGGCACCTTTTATTGCTCTCATTTTGTACTCGAGGAAACAAACTGTAAGTGCGATTAAGATCACATGGTTAGAAATCAGCCGTGTCCCAAGCAAAGGAAGGGGCCTCTGCCTCTGTTGAATCCGAGTCAGTGATGTTTTCAGTAATTGTTTCCCCTAGCTTTGCTAATAGAAAAGACTCCTGGAAAAATCCCCCGTGTTGTTGGTTGATACAAAGATAGGACTGAACCGATGCAGATGGAGGGATATTAATTCGTGCGGCTGTTTGTCTATATTAGATGATTCAGTTGCTAGAAACATAAAAATACGTGAATGACCCCAGTGCCTTTGGGGCAAATTATCTCCCAACAGAGAAAGGACGTGAAGAAATTCATGTGGAGTTGTGAGGCTTGTGGGTCGTGGTTTGCTCACACTCTTGTCAGCAGCCCGGGTCTCTGGTGTGGCTTGGAGCTGTCTCTCCTCCAGCCCTGCACTGCCCTGGGAGTGGGGCGCATGGGCACGCACGTGTGCCACTGGTTCGCTGCTCCCTTCCCCACAGGCCTACAACGGGCACCACCAGGCCTTGGAAGTTCTCCTGCAGTCGCTGGTGGACCTGGACATCAGGGACGAGAAAGGTCGCACGGCACTGGACCTGGCCGCCTTCAGGGGACACGCGGAGTGTGTGGAAGCGCTTGTCAACCAGGGCGCCTCCATCTTTGTGAGAGACAGCGTGACCAAGAGGACCCCCCTGCATGCCTCAGGTAGGTCCAGTCCCTGCCAGCATCTCCTTGCGTCCCAGTTTCTTAAACTGTCCGTTTTCTTCCTTCATCGAATTCACCGCACGCCTCCAAATCCCTCTGACCTGCCTTTCTCCCTTGGCGAGGCTGCTGTTCTCTGGCCAGCACCCTCAGCCCTCCCCACTCAGAGAGTTCAGAACCTTTGGCAAGAGCCTACAGCATAGCTTTCCAAACAAAGGGACACACAGAGCCGTCTTCAGAACTGGCTACAGGCCATGTAACATGCTAAAGGCCATGTAACGTGCTAGTGCAGCATGAACGATAACTCGGGGCTGCTTCATGTGAGCACACGCAGGCAGGGGTCCCATCAGCACATCATCCTGCCAGCCTCAGTCATGCTCTCAGCTTTGGCTCTAACTCCTCATGCATCAGGTAAAAGGAGGGATCTTTAAAAAATACTTGGATATATAAAAAGTCAAGTAATTTATCTTTTCTAGGATTTTCCTCCAGTGCATACGAAACACTGCATAAAGACATGCGTAGATATATAAACAGATATAAAGGTAACCATGAAGGGTTTCTGACTCAGCTAAAGCATAAATACCTTTGGGCTCAGGAAATCCAAGGCCGTCAGCCTTTGAAGAGGGAGAAGGTAGCATTTATAAAGACAAATAGCTGCCTGGCGGTGTGTCTGCCTCTGAGCTTACCGACTGTGGACTGAAATCGTCACTCACACACAGTGAAATATGGTTGCACTGAGAAGCAAAGGAGTGAAAACAGTTCTCTAAAGACTTTATGGTTCTTCTGACTTGGGAAATTTTCTAGGAATGATAGCTCTTATAGCAGTATTCTGTCTCCATCCCTTTACTTAAAAGCCACGGAAAAGATACGATACAAAGATTGGGAAAAAATAACTTGGCTTTTGCCTGATTACCTAGAAATGATTGTTGCTGGAAAAAACTTTAGCCATGAAGTTGGTGATGGTGTGGTGGAATTATAAATTCGCACTTCCCATCACCTTGAATCCTTTTGCTCCATAGATGTGCTTGGCATTATTATAAAGTTCAAATTGTGTTCTCCCTTTCTAAGATCCGTTGCCCATCCTTAAGGAAGGAACTCTGCTTTGGGACCGTGTAACTCCTGACTGTTGCCAAGGGCCAGTTTGGGTGTGGAGACGACTCTTGTGAGCAGGTGAACAATGAACAATCATTGTCTCGCATTTGCCACCGTGATGTGGGCGTGGTCCCAGAGCGCCTCCCAGTGGCCGAGAGGACTCAGTCCGTGTGGATCTCCCTGGAGCCACTCATTAAATAAGACGCTGTCCTTTGACTTCACAGAATGTCTGTTGTATAAAGCTGCACCCTGTGATTTGAGGATCTGCTTACCCGGCGTCTTTTTCAGCACAGTTGAGAGGCCAATTTCTTTGTCTCAAGCCCTCAGAGACTATGAGGAGCGGCAGCCAGGGTGGAGCTTAGAGGTTTGGGCCCAGACAGACACAGCGACAGTTGTGGGGTGGGCTGTCTCTAGCCAGGGAAAGGCCCAGTTTGAGACAGAGCTGGACCCGCAGGGCCCAGCTAGAGGTGGGCATCATTTTGCTGGAAGACAACTGGGGAGAAAGCCAACAAGAATTTAAGAAGGGAGCTTGAATTTTCCAGAGTGCTGTTAGCTAAGTTGAAAAAGCTACTGTGGAAAAAGAATGTAATTATAGAAATCATTCTGTGCCCAGTGCACCAGGGGAGTGATATGAACTTAGATGATTTCTTGCTTATGTTTAGCCAAAATCAAACAGCCTTGGAGCTATTGTAATATAAGCATTTAAGAATATCAGAAAGAGGAATCCCTCAAAACGTGCTGTTCCTCCACCTTCATGAGCTCACTGCCTGGCTATTTAGCTGTCAGTCTTTCCATCATTATTTCCTTGTAGGCATGCACTCCTTGCACTTCTCAACAATGGTAGCAGATTTAGTATAATTATAAAAAGAAAAAAGGTACAAAACAAAAGCAGCAATTGCATATCACCTGTAACTCCAGTCTGCGAAATTTCCTCCCAAGAGATGAGATGCCTCCGGGGAATGTTGTTGAGAACGAGCTGAAAGCAATGAGCTGCAAAATGTGGCCATTGTCCCGGCCTGCTTTGAGTGGTGTCGATGAATGTGAGCTAACTGTATGTAGTATGTTCTGTCCCGGAAAAGCCATGTGGATGTTCGGTGAGCATTCTCTCATGACTGGCTCGAGGTAGAAAGGATTGCCAGCCTGACAGAAATGCGTCTGTTCCCTTCTCTCTCCACGTCCCCGGCCAGGGCAACTCTCCAGCGCTGTTCAGAGAGGAAAGCCGGTCACGTTTGGCATTGTGGACGCATTTGCTCTCCTCTTGCTCCCCGGAGTGGACAGACCTGGCTGTGGGGAGGCTTTTGGAGGGTCCGCTGGAGGAATGGGCCTTCCTGAGTCCAGGGGATTAACACCGGGGTCCCTGCCCCCCCAAAAAAGTGTCTTCCTGGGTGCACATCAGGGCCTCAGGGGCACAGGGATGCTGCCCTGGGACCGAGTTTCTGTCCACTTCTGGGCTGCTGATCAGGAGGGCCCTGGCAGAAGGGAACCTGAGTCGGGTGGAGGAGAGGAGAGGAGGAGAGGAGAGGAGGAGAGGAGAGGAGAAGCTGCAGAAGGGAGAGAAGTGGGAGCTTCACTTGCAGCAGCCTTGAGACCCTGGAAGGTAGAGGACATCATAGTCTGGGGGACGCCAGGACACCATGGGGGGCCACCCCCACATCTCCTGAGGGTGCAGGTCCCTCATCAGTGAGCCATGTGTGTGCATCATGAGCACATTTGTGGCTCTGTGTTTCCCTAATCAGTGAGAACCAAGGCTACAGTATCTCCCCCAGCTTGGACACAGTTGGGGACAGGACAGGAAGAAGGGGCAAGGTCTATTCCTTTCTCCTTCCATCTTCCCCCTGCTCCTCTGTCTCCCTCTCCCTCCTCCTCCCAGGCAATCCCTGTCCCCTGCTATATTCTCCTCAAAAGCGACCAGAGGAAGGAGGCACAAATGATCAGTGGAGTTGAGTGAGTCTCTTAGAGGAATAGGAAGGGGAGCTGACGAGTGGGAACATGAACCAGCCCTCTACAGTGATGAAAAGGATCACATTCCAGCAAAGCTCCCTCCCAGGAGGCAGAGGAGGAAGATGGAGATCAAAGTGTCCTGGGAGGAAGAAAGGGAGAGGCAAATACTGTGCAGTCCAGACCTGCAAACCCAGGCCACTGTCAGCAGCAGAAAATCGCTGACTTGAAGTCCAAGTAAATTTCGCTTTGGACGGGCGGGCGTGGTGAGGGTCTGTTACAGAGAATGTCTGTGATTGTCTTTTCCAGTTATCAATGGCCACACCCTGTGTTTACGGCTCTTGCTAGAAATGTCAGACAACCCGGAAGTGGTGGACGTGAAAGATGCCAAAGGACAGTAAGTGTTCTCAAGAGGAGGCTGGGTGCAAGCAACTCAAAGGCTTCTGACTGAGGCCTGGGTGGGTGCAGATTGGGGTAAAGGCGCTGGTGAGCACCCTGGAGTAGCACAGAGCCCGAGTGCGGGTGCAGGCCGAGCAGCAGGGGCAGCTGTGTGCACATCTGGATAAAAAGAATCACTTTTTTCTGGCTGTGGCCATGAGTCCGGGCTCTTTTTTATCTTCCCTTTTGTTCCCCTTCTTCACATCTTTGTCCTCTTCTGAAGCTATATTTCCCTTTTTAAATTAATAATGCAATGCGACAGACTCTAAGAGATGCTCTCCAGCATTTAAAAACCCTTCCAATTTTTATCCTTCCTTGGGTTTTGATTCGTTGGTGCATTTTCCCTGTTGGCCGATCCCCTACCCCTCCCTCTCTTACAAACAGAAAGTGCAGGCCAGAAGCACTAGTGACGTCCGGGTGCCCAGGTGCATGCAGCCTGACTCAGGACCCGGCCCTGGAGCTGTGGCACTATCTCGCAGGGCGTGGGACCTTCACGCAGATGAAGTCCTGAGCACAAGTCCAGCGTGGAAGGCTGTGCCCTCGGAGCTGCCCTGCAGAAGCAAGCCGGTCTCCTGCATGTGCACTCCCTGCCACAGACCCCGAGTTGGGCCACAGAGCTCCGAAAATGACGGATTAGCTGGGCTGCTCGGGCAAGGAGCCTCCTCCAGCCAACCCTGCGGCTTGTCCTGCCTGCACGCTTAGAATGGGCGCAGACAGCAGCCTGGGGGTGGAAGAGAAGAAGGGAGCGATCGGCCCTGGGAGGTACTTCTCAGATCTCCCCTCAGAAGCCTGTCTGTCTCTCTCCCTAGAACGCCCCTGATGCTTGCAGTCGCATACGGACACATCGACGCGGTCTCGTTGCTCCTAGAGAAGGAGGCCAACATGGATGCTGCGGACGTGATGGGCTGCACCGCCCTACACCGAGGGGTGCGTGCCGCTGTCGCCTCAGCCGAGCTTGCTTACGCTCGCTTCCTTTGTGACTCTGTAGTTTAAAAAAAAAGTGCTTTCATCATACAACCAGCCAGCCTCAACCCGTCAGAAACAGTGGCGGCGTCCTCTGCAGAGGGCAGTGGGACGCCCCCTGTCGGTGCGGCTAGCTGTGCTTTCTGACTGCAGGGTACATTGTGTTATGTGCCTTACGGGAATTTTGCAAAATGATGTTTTTAAAGCACAGAGAAAAAAATCACAACCACCAGCAATCCTACTCCTGGAGATACCCGCTTTCACTGTGTGTTGCTCCGGTCTTTTTTTCTACAAATAGATCTGTTTTAAACTTCCAAAAAAGAACACCAAAGATCCTATTTGGAATCTAGGGGCGGGGGGGTTTGCATAACAAATCAAGGATCTTTTCCCCATGGCACTAAATATTTTTTCTACACTATCATTTCTACTCCTCTAATGTGGAGGCACCATAATTTATTTCAGTGAGGCCTGGTTTTGAGTAGTTGTGCCCTTCCTTCCTTCCTTTCTCTGTTTCCTTCCTTCCTTCTTCCCCACCTTCTCCCTCCCTCCTTCCCTCCCTCCCTTCTTTTTTTTCAGTACTGGAGTATTAGGTTGATAGCCGGACCAATTAGTTATCCAGGGATGCCCAATCACCTGATTGTGGTACAGCAGGGGATACAAGAATAATATACAAAGAACAATAGCTTATTACTTGGGGGCCGGGATCTGGTCTTAGCTCTATCCTGGCTAAGACAAGGATCTCTAGATCAGTCAGGATTTATGATTACACAACATAGCAGGGGACATAAAGGCAGATGGAAGGAACAGCAGGACTGATGCACTAATGAGCCAGGCTTGTAGAAGGGGAGGAACGAGGCATTCTCCTGAAGGACAGGTCACAGTGAAGCCACTCGTGCTATCTTGCAGGTCATAGCTAACAAGCCACCTGCGTTACCTTAGCTAATGTTTGATCTGGGAGAATGGCTTCTGAGTCATGATTCCTCAGCCGCAGTGTTTGGTTGCCATTAGAGACGTCACAATATTATCAATCACTGAGATCTTAATTGTGACTGTGGGCCTAGGGAAGCCTGTCTCCGTACACCAGCCAAAGGCTCCTTTAACAAGCCACACTTAGGCCTTGGAATGACGCACAATTTTAATCAATAGCCAAATGTACAAGCCAAATCAATAGTATCTAAAGCCTACTCAATTCAGTTTCAAGCTGGTCCTCCCCAGCCCTTTTTATTTTTTTTATTTTGAGACTACATCTCACTTAAGTTCCCCAGGCTGGACTCAAACTTTTGACCCTCCTGCTTCAACCTCTAAAGTGCTAATTGTGCTATTTCTAATTGTTCTTTATCATGAATGATACCAAAGTACATATTCTGTGAACAATTGTTTGTATTTATCTGTTGAACTGTTTTTAAAACATGTCAAACAGGGACCAGAGATTTAGCTCAGTGATGTCACGCCTGCCTGGCAAACACAGGTCCTGAATTCAATCCTCAGTACCAAAAAAATGAATTAATTTTTTTAAATTTTTAATTTAAGAAATAAAACATGTCAAAGAAACTAAACGGACAAATGCAGAAATCTTAAAATCGCTATTTGGGAATGGTATAAACACCCTGATCAGTGAACATAAGAGGAGCTTTGTGTGCTCCTTGTCATAACCATAGTTCCTGTTTCTTGGGCACATCCTTCGAGCTGTGCTACGGGCTGGGGCCGGGACACCCGCAGTTGTGTGCCCCACCTTGGCCTTTCTAAGTGACAGGCGCACGTAGCACAGCAGAGCTGAGTCCTTCCTGTCGCCTGACCTTTTCTGCTGGTCTCTTAAGTGCGCTGTGTCACAGTGCCTGCCTTCTTCAGGACAGTGACCTGCTGCACCTGCTGGCCACGGAGCCTGGGCATCCCAGGCTGCACTGTCCAGGTCTGTGTTGGGGACACGGTGTGATATCCACACAGCACGACTCCCCACACGTGCCCAGCTTCAGCCCCTCATGAGACTGAGCCTTCACAGCTGCCTGGCGGTTATTGCTTCTGTTCTTGTAGAAGCTGGGAAGTGAGAGGACTGTATTTGGGGTTGGGGGAGGCCAGAACTTCCTCCTTTCCCCCGGTCCTACAGCCCACATGTTCCGCAGTGTCGTGGTCCCAGCAAGGCTGTCTGGAGAGTCAGCCATGTTCCCGGAGTGCTGGCGTCTCAGGCTCCTCCAGTGTGGGTGTCCCTGGGTTGTCCTGTCCCCAGCCCTGGCACAGGGCACCTCTGTCCTGGGGCCGGGCTCTGCCCCAAGGAGGCCCCTCTGAGGTCCTCTGCGTTTCTCCCACACCCAGATCATGACGGGACATGAAGAGTGCGTGCAGATGCTGCTGGAGCAGGAGGTGTCGGTGCTCTGTAGGGACTTCCGGGGAAGGACGCCCCTGCACTATGCCGCCGCCCGCGGCCACGCCACGTGGCTGAGCGAGCTGCTGCAGATGGCTCTGGCTGAGGAGGACTGCTGCCTGCGGGACAGCCAGGGCTACACGCCCCTGCACTGGGCCTGCTACCATGGTGAGTCCCTAGGCCAGACACGCTTCGGCGTGTGTCTGGCTGCCGGCTTTTTACCTGGATTCCCACGGTGATTGTCAGTAACTGTGACTTCCCATCAGAGCATCCAGCCCTGTGTGCTGGCCATGCCTGCGATTCCAGCAGAATTTTCTCTTCACCAGAATCCTGTGGGTGGGCTGCAGATTGTATCTTAGCTTCTTTCTTCCTATTAGAAATAGTGGCGACGTGATTGTGCTCCTATTCTAATACCAAAACTCCTGCCAGGTAAGCATCTAGAAATGAGATTACTGAGTAAGGGGCAGGTATATTTTTAATTTTAATAAGTTATACTGCGTTACTTTGCAAAAAGGATGTTATAGTTACTCCACCAAACATGCACACAAGATATACCTTCCCACTGTTTGCCAGCCCAGAATGATATTAAATTAAAATTTTTAATTTAGAAACTGAATACCAATCTAGGAAGAGTTTTGATTTACGACCTCACCTTGAATTTCATTGATTCTTCTTTTTCATTGATTCCGCCTTAATAAGAGGAGCCGAATTTTCTACTTATTCAACTTGGTCTTGCTCCTCCCTCCCACCAGAGGATTGTGAGTTTTTACCTAAAATTGGCAAGGGTCCCCTCTCGGGGCGAGAAGTGAAGCCATGGGCTCCCTGGGTGAGGAGAGCCCGCAAGGGAGGAAGGGCGCTGTGACTACGGCTACCATGGTGCCCAGACCTGCCATGGCTGCCTCCTCCCTGGGCGGGGAGGGCCCTACCCCAGGCCTCTGTGTACAGCAGGGGCGGGGCAGCCCTGTCCCAAGAGGTTCCCTGCCAGCAGCCTCCTGCAGCGCAGGGGTCCCTGCTCCATCTGCTCAGAACCCCTTCGCTGCACATTCGAAACACAAAGTTGTCTGGTCACCCCGGTCCGTTGTGCACAGGCCAGGTGTGGGTTCACATGGTCCCCACCTCCAAAAGGCTGCTGTAGACGCTGCCCTGAGCCAGGTCCCCTGGGGGATTCGTACTAATGGGCACAGGGTCGCTGGAGACCCTTCACCTGCCTGCCAGGGGCTGCTCCTGCTCATTCCTTCCAGGCTTCTCAGTCCCCCTGAAAGCTATCGCAGCTTCTCTCTTCAAAAAAAGGTTTATTTGTATTTTAATATTTTAAACTGTCCGATCTTCCTTATTCTGAGGTAGATGATAAGGGAATTTTCATTAAATTACCTTGGAGCTCAGCCAGGAAGGGGGACCAGGACGCCAATGTGTATTCTAAAGCCAGACAGCAGTGTCTCCAGCCTCCCACATGGACAGCGCCTTTCAACCATGTTGAGGGCCTTTATGGAGTTAAAGCTCACACGGTCCTGTTACGCAGCAGGGCAGCTCCTTCAAGTCCAGCTTTATATAATACAGATGGGAAACTGAGGCTCAGAGGTCCCAAGAAAGCTGCCTCAGGCCATGTCACAAGGTGACAGAGCTGGGATCTTTGAATTACTTACATCAAATTCAGTTGATTTAGAAGCCAAATGTCCTTTCATTAAAAATAATTTTTCATGTTACTTCATCTACTGATTGAAAGCACTGACTAGGAACCTACTGTGTGCCAGGCATCATTTAAAACACATAATATTTTACAGTCAGCCTTTTCCTGTGCACTAGCCCAATCCTGTGTACTGCAAACTCCAGCGGTGCGCAAGTGTAGGAAACACATTCGCACTGTGACAGCTGCATTTCCTGAAGTGTCCACACCCCAGATGCATCTCCCCATCTGGGCCGGGGGCAACATGGAACCTGCACCATAAGACTTTCCTTTGCCTGTGAGCCTCGTTAGGAACATTTTGGCATTTTGGTAATCAATCTGCAGAGAATGGATATTCAGCCAGTTCAGGAAAAATGATAAGCTAGAATTTAATACTGAGTGAAAAAAATCAAACCAAACTATGTGGAACAAAGTTTCTTTCTTGCGAAATCCCTGAGTTCTGTTGGTTCTTTGCAGGCAATGAAAACTGTATAGAGATACTTTTGGAGCAAAAATGTTTCCGTGCGTTCGTGGGGAACCCGTTCACGCCTCTTCACTGTGCAATGTAAGTAGAAGTGCCGGGCTCCACGGTCTCGGTCAGCTCACTTAACTGCGTGTAGAGAAATGGCTTTGGGGAGGAGAGCGCTTCGGGTGACAGCTGAGTCTAAAATATTCCACTGTACTGCCAAAGACAGTCCTGCCAGCCAGGTGTGGTCTCTGGGTTGCACAGTTCCCAGGTGACTTACGCGCCCCCAGAGGCTGCCGGGAGGGGGTTGGGGGCGAGTTTCCCAGGATGTACAGGAGCTGCAGGGGTAGCCCCTGCTGTCTGCCAAATTCTGAAAATCAGCCAGGGTTCCCAGCAGCCTGCTGCTTCCGTTAGGAAGCCATTTGTTCCCAGGAGGTCTTTTCTTATTTGTCACACCCCATTGCTGGGGCCTGATAAGTCTTGCTTTCACTAACCTTTCTAACCTTTCCGCCCGCCCCGGGGGTGAGGATACAGTGACTTCCACGGCTGGCTTAGGGCCAAGACCCAAGGCCTGTGCATTGTCTGTGGGCTTCACGGGATGCTGGCCACTTCATTGGCAGCTCTCAAATGCACAAAATTGACTGATAAAGAGGTGAAGAATCCATGTCTTTGCAACCTTGGTCCCCAGTACCCCCAGTGGTGTCTCGTGTTCATATGCAGTGAGCTTCTACTCCAATCCAGCGGTCCCAGAAGAGATGCAGTGGACACACATACCACAAATGTTTACACCCAATTTTCTAAAAGTTCATTAGATTGTTAAATAGGTGGCATCTTTTCAATTGGAAAAGGGAAAGAAAGACACGGTAGGAGGAGACATACAAGCTCAGGAGGGTGAAACAGAAGGGAATGTACAGTAAAGAGGCGATTGTTATGTGGAGATCCGTTTCTGCTGTAGAATAAATGATCATGAGAACTGTGCGTCGATGCTTCTCGGGGCCATCGATTCCAGCATCGTCAGCTGCGGAGATGACAGAGGCCGGTAAGCAACCCTGGCACAGGCCTTGGACTTGATGAGCTGGGCTTTGCTTTGCACTTGCTGAGTAGCTGAGCATCTGTCTTTTCCATTGAAAAGTAATATACTGTATAAGCGTGATCTTTTAAAGTTAAATATCATAAAGGGTATATAACTTTTTTTTTTGGTACCTGGGATTGAACTCGGGACCTTGCGCTTTCAAGGCAGGTGACAGAACCACTGAGCTAAATCCCTGGCCCAAGGGTATATAATTTTTTTAAACTCCCTTTTTGCTGAGAATACCCACCCTTTCCCATGGAGACGGCACTGTGCTCTGTTCTCTCCAAATGGTATTTCCTCCTAAATACTTTCTGTATGTATGTATTTATAAACATCTATAAATATATACATATCTATTCTTTTTATGCAAATAGGCCATTCTACAATCATATTCTACTTTTAGTATATCTTGGAAGTATTTTCATGCAAGAATATACATATTTACCACATTCTTTTTGAAGCGCATATTATTTCAGTGAATGGATATACTCTATTTTACTCAGCCTGTCTTCAGTTGAAGAAAAATTAGGCTGCTTTCAATATTTTGCTCTTTCAAAGGAGTGGCCCAGTGAACGTTCTCATCTAGGAATCTAGACACATGACCAAGTGTATCTGGGAGGTAAAGTTCTAGGAGTGGAATTACTTGATTCAAAAGCCAATAGTTTTTAAATTTTAATAAATAATACCAAATCATCCTTTCAAAGAAATCACCCATCCATATTTGGTTATGTGGCATTTAAAATCTTTATTTAATCAACCAGTTACCTACAAATTTAAGGCTTAACTTTGAAAGTCTCCATCTCAAAGATGAGAGAAGTCACTGCAAGCATCAGCGCTGATTTCATTGTCGGGGCCACCATGACACCCCCACACACTCTAAAGTGTTCCTTTCACTCTGGGGACACTTCAGTGACTTCCTTGAATGGCTTTTCAAGGTGTCTTGGCCATTATTTCTGTAAGCAGAGACACTCTGAATCCCAGACAATACCACACACACGTTTCTCGGCAGTTATTAAAGAGAGAATAGTTTGAAGGAAAACCAAACCCCTAACTCATTTGAAATCTGCAGGACACCCCTCCACGCAGCAGCGTTCGGGGACCACGTGGATTGCTTGCAGCTCCTCTTGCGACACAACGCTCAGGTGAACGCTGTGGACAATTCGGGGAAGACCGCACTGATGATGGCCGCAGAGAACGGGCAGGCGGGTGCCGTGGGTACGTGCTGCTCCTGGGGAATCCAAACCGGTGTTCTTGTGGTCTCTGCATCTGGAAGAGGGCCACAGGCAGTCTTCCTTAAGCCGCCTGACTGTTTCCTCAGTCACTTTCTGTCCCAGGTGCTTGGATCGGGGAGGACCTTGCCAAGCCTCCTGCAGTGACATGTCTCCACTTTAGAAACCAAATCAGTAGCAGATTCATTTTAAGTGGAAAGAGTGAAACTGCAAGGACACTTAAATGCCTGTCAGCCTTGGATCTGGGTGGAATAAATAGGGCAACAAATCAGGCTCCTTCTTTTCTTTAAAAGTGTGAAATACAATTATGTAAGGTGTCCTGATTTAAATGTTGTTTTGATAGTAACTTCCTCAAAATGCATGTGATTAGGGTTAGTCTCAGTCTCTGCCTCTTCTTTCCCTGTAGATATTTTGGTGAACAGTGCCCAGGCTGATCTGACTGTGAAGGATAAGGACTTGAATACACCTTTACATCTGGCCAGTAGTGAAGTATGTAAATAAATTTAAAGCACTGTTACTAGCATTGTGATAACAATACCACTGACGCCCTTTCTATTCCGGAAGTCTAGTGTGGTTCTTCCGGAAGGTGTACATTTTCCCAGGGTGTTGTCAACTGTGTGTGGAATCGAAGCGGGATAGGGAAAGGGCAGTCGCCAGGTTGATGAGCCGATGCTCCATCATGACAAGTGAGGAGAATACACGCCTCATGGCACCGTCACTTGCGTTCTTGCCAAGGCCCCTCTGTCTTGAGGCCACCACTGTATCTGTCTCTGAATGGTGGTGCTGCAGTTTGGTACCATATCATAGGTTAGAGCTTTAGTTATGTGGCTTTGGAATTAAGCAGTTCTACTCATTTTGCTTTTGTTCCATTAAAAGAGGCATCGCGAAGCAAGTCAACATATCCATGTGCATTTCTACCCTACCCCCTCCTTTTCTGCTGCACAGTTCCATCCAAAGAACATGGCTGGGTTTGTTGTTGTTGGTAAATAGAATGTCCCCGTGCTTTCATAACAGATGTCTATACATCTTCACGCATGAGTGGATGTGCGTGGATGTCTGCTTTTATCAGAGGCAGTAGAGTATAATGCCCCTGGGCGCCAGTGACGCTGGGTTTCTTTCAATATAGTTAAAATATCAGGTGTCTCCTCGACTCAGTGGGACCCAAGTCTCAGCCATGCCTGTTCTCACTGATGGTGTTTTCTCCCCTCCCGCTCTGGGAAGCCCATGGAAACCACAAAAACATGCTCAGTTTCAAGTTCCCCTCAAGGCGTAGTGTTTTAGGGAGCATAAGCGCAGTGCTTTCCATACTTTACGGTGCAGGTAAATTCGTGGGGATTTGGTTAAAATACCGATCCTGACAGGTGGGGTCTGGGGGCCTGGAGCCAGCATTTCTAGCCACTGGATGATTCTGCGGCTGCTCTACTCCCGATGAGCAAGCGCTTAGGAGGCTGTGACCCCCTAAAAGGCCTCCAGGTCCCAAGTTTTAGAAGAGCTCTACCGCGACAGTTAATTTCTCGAATTATCAGCCACCTTTGTCATAAGATCCAGAGACACCTGCTCAGGCTAAGCAGGAGCAGAATGAGCTTTCTTGAAGCAAGGCCTCTTCGCTTGTGAGGGGTTCGGCGATGCGGAGTGAACAAGTTAGTGGGTGTGATGGGCTTCCAAGGTGGTGAATCGCTGAACGGTAATTGAAGGCTTGAGGAGGAGGCGTGGGACTCGGTGGATGTTTACAAAGTAACGCTGGAGGACCTGAAGGGTGCGCCAGACTCTGCTCTCGATTTACCAGCTGACCTAGCTAAACTACCATCTGCTTTCGCTCTCTGGACATTAATTCTGAAAATTATCTTGGAGATATTCATATTAAGTATGAATATTTTAGCACAGACATATGTCACCCAAGTCCTAATAGGCCTTATTTAGACTCTTAAGAGTATCTAGGGCCCATTTACTCTTTAGGAAAAAATATATCCAGAAAATAGCCTTGTAGAATGTTTTTGACAGAGCAAATTTATTTTCAGTTTTAAGTATAAGGAAGTAATTATCCAGGGACTTTTCTATGTCTCTGTCTCATGTTTCTTATCATTCTTTTTCTTTTATCAGGGTCATGAAAAATGTGCCTTGTTGATACTTGACAAGATACAAGATGAAAGCCTTATTAATGCCAAAAATAATGCACTGCAGACGTAAGTGAGACCACTAACGTCTGCCTTTGGTGCAGAGCCCTGGGCATTTACCCAGCAGAACTTAGGAGTCTTCCCCCAGCACTGGGTCCACTCTGGGTCACAGCGGCGCCAACCTGGCTGCACCTCCGTGAGGTTCCCAGCTGCCTGCCTGCAAAGGCTGACTAGCGGACGGAGTTTCAGTTAAAATTCTTCTTTTGCTATGCCTTTGCAGAATTTTGTGAGCTCTTTGTTTTTCTTCATTGATATTTCTGTAATAGCATTATAAATTTAGTGAGCTGCTAGAAAGATCTTAGGGGCTTATGGACTGACATGTTTGGGGAAAGTATTTGTATTATGCATCAGCATTATGTATCCAGACTGGAAAACAACACTTTTATAAATCAAGTTCCCAGAATACATTTGAAGAGTTTCTAAAGCTATCTGTCTTAGTTATATTTTAATGCAATTCATTGTAACTCTCAGTGTGAAAGATCTACAACCTGCTTCATTTTCCATATTAGGAAATTATTTGTGCACTTTTTAAAGGCAAGGGAATATTATAATTTTTTAGTCAATATGATGAAGCAGTGTGTAGCACAATATACTGTTTGACATTATTCTCTAAGGCACCACACTCAGTAAGACACCTGGGTGCATGTAATAATTGTGACAAGATGGGAGAGCATAATCATGATGAGAGAGTATATATCAACGCCAGTCATATTGATGGACTGAGTGAAACAGTAACTCAAAGGCTGAAGTAGAAACACACCAGTGTTTCTACAAGACCCACTGAAGTTTGAATTCCCCCGCTGTCTTCCTACTAACCGTCATTTGAAATTACATGAGATGTAGAATATGTACAATACTTGCAGGGAAATCTGAGCCCTGTATGAGAGAACAGTTGGGTCATTAGCACCTGGGAAAACTTTGGTGGACACATATTTTCTTAAAAAGTACACCTGTGGATTCCCAAGAACACCATCCTTTTAGTGACAAAAGCTGGTGGAAGTGTCACACTTTCCCACTCCTGTATCAGATACCCAAGATGGTCACCTTCAGAAGAGAGCAAGTTTGCTTTAGCTCATGGGCTCAGAGACGCTGGTCCATCGTCAGCACGTCAGGGAGCATGCGGGGTGGAGCAAGGCTGTGCACTTGTGGTCAACACAAAGGGATTAGGAGGAAGGGCTGGAGTCCCACCATCCCCTTCAAGGGCCACCCCCACCCGTAACCACACACTGGGGACCAACCCTCGCACACATGGCCTTTGGGGGGCAGTTCACATCCAAACTATAGAACTTGCCCCAGTCCATGCCCAGCTGACATTCGTGTTGCTTTTTAGACCCCTCCACATTGCTGCTCGCAATGGCCTGAAGGTGGTAGTGGAGGAGCTGTTGGCCAGAGGAGCCTGTGTACTCGCTGTGGATGAAAATGGTAAGCATGGCTGTAGGCACCTTCCCTATGCTCTTGCTGCCAGAGGACAGTAGGAAAGACAGGAGCCAGTTAAAAGAGCAGTGAGATTCGGCCCCTGGGAAGTCCCATGAGTGTGAGAAGTCAGGCAAGGAGACCGTTTCCTGTCTGTCCTGTCGTGGGTCACACTGTCTCCTGCTGTCCATTCTGCATGTCGTGTCAGCAGCGGATCCCTAACTCTTCAGTCTGGCGGCAGAAACAGTTCAGACACTCTGAAAACCCTCTCCCCAAGGACACTGAAGAGTTAGGGATTCCACATGTCCTTTGTGCATGTGCAAGGGCCCGCCCGATGGACACTTAGATCTTCGACTGTATTTCAGTTCATTCTGAGATCAAACTTATTTTTTCAGTACAGATCAGAATTCCTATTCCTAGCATGGAAATTTGGGGAACATGAGTAAAATATTTTTAGCAAACATCTAGACTTGAAGGCTCCCCTGATCTATATAACATTCCTTGTCTAAGCCAGCTAATTCTTATCAGAAGCTTTCCGCTCTGTTTCCTAAGACATCTGAAAACTAAAGCATTTGAGAGTTGTACTAAACTACCACTTTAAGTACAATGCCTCTTAAGCTCAGTGAGCAAAAGAGGAACTTCTGGATATTTATGAATTAAGTAATTTTTTTTAAAACATGGCATTTATTTTGGCGTTCAACTAAAGCATTGTAATGTATTAATGTAACTCAACTGCTTATTACAGGTGTTGGAATTAGCAGCTCATGCCTATTTCTCAGAAGTAAGCAGCCATACTGACATTGATAGCTAACTTAGTTTTGGTTCTGCAGCCCCGTGTATCCTAGCATGTACCCTGCCCCGTCCCCAACTGACTCATCTAGGAAATGCAGAAAGCCCCCGTTACTCCATCTCCTTGGTCTTCCCACCTCACCTTCCCTCGCCCTCTTACCCCGACTACCACCTTTGGGTTGGCATGCAGAGCCCACGTTTTTCTCCAGAATGACCAGAGATCAGAAGCAATGGGCTTTGCTTTCCTCCGGTATAAATCTGAGACCTCTGAGGTTTGCTCAGCCCCTAGCAACATCAGGAGCCAGGGTCCTGGGGCGGGGGATGTGGCCTCCTGTCTTGGGGCTTAGCCTCGTCTGGAGGCTGGGAAGCATAGGGACAACGTCCTTCGTGCTGCAGCACTGAGGTAGCGGCTCCCGTCATCACTGCCCTCTATGGGATGCAGTGGGGGATAACTGGCCCCTTCTTGTTTGTTTTCATGCTGGAAGGAGGAATACGCTTCAAACGGCCGAGAGGGTGGGGATCAGTTTAGCTAAGTTGTATAAGGGTGGCTCCTCTGAGTGATCCGATGCAGCACCACTCATTTTGAGGTGGGCACTTTGGCCAACAGAAAAAAGTGGACAAAGAACTAATTAAATCAAGGAATTGACTGCCTTCCTGGGGGTCCCAGTTTTATGTGTTGAGGCAGTTTTCTTACCTGGACTGGACCTATTACATCTGGATTCTGGACAGTGACAAACTCCAGTCCACCAAGCATACCAATTCTCAGATTTGGGACTTTGGTTAGTGGAGTGGTTTTTTTTTTTTTGGTACCGGGGATCGAACTTGGGAACTTGTGCTTGCAAGGCAGGCGCCAGAACCATTGAGCTAAATCCCCAGCCCTGGAGTGGATTTTTTTTTTTTAGTTCTGTCAAATGTCTTTCAAACAATTATAAATCTTTAATCACAAGCAATAGTGCCCTCCTGTCTGATTTGTTCGAATGGCTCCATTTTTCAAAAACCAAATCACTGGTGTGGCTTTATGTAAAGTCACTTGGACAGCCACCTGACCTTCAGTGTCTTCTCTGACCTGACACACAGTTCCCCACTCAGAAAGGCGTTGTTCTCAGAATGAGATCCCTGCAGCCAGGGCCCAAGCTCATGGTGTGTGTCCTCCCGGTGGAAATGTCTTCCTTGTTGTGCTGCTCCCATTGTCGTGGAATTGTGTCCCACCATCTCCTCATGTTTCTGTCCTCTAGATGAAGGCTGGAATTCCACCTAACTCCAGATAATATTGTGCTTGCTGTAGTCATGTGAGCTGAAAACACAACAAAATAAACCCGGCTCCATACATGTCTCCCCTCCCTGTCCCTCGGCCTCAGCCCTAGCATGAGTAACCCTCTCGCACCTGGCATGAACTCTAACTCCACATGCATCGCCCCGCGAGGTCATGGATGTACTGGACCCAGACTAACTGCTGCCTTGTCTGCATTTACGCCCAGGTCACACCCCGGCCCTGGCTTGCGCTCCTAACAAAGATGTGGCCGACTGCCTGGCCCTCATTCTGGCTACCATGATGCCTTTTTCTCCGTCCAGTGCAATGACGGCTGTCAACTTCGTTTGTTTTAAAAAAGATAATTTGAGCAGGACGACCCTCTCCAACCTGGGTAGCGTGGTTAGCCTGTGCAGTAACGACGTAGGCTCCGAGGACGGGTACAATGAGAATGACTCTGATTCCGAAACCTTTTGACTTGGAACTGTAGGAGCTTTTCCCTGATCGCACGTGTTGGAGGAAGGGAAGAGGCTTGATTTCCAGGTTTCTGCCATGGTCCAGTATTATAATGGGGCCCGAGCTTTGGGAAGCCAGAGGAGGAGGAGGGAGAGCCGCCGCGCTGGAGGGGACACTGGTACAAGGGGTCCTGGTTTGGTTTGGTTTCATGTTTTCCTTAGCTCCAAGGTACTTCTGTGAAAGTCTACCTCTCATTTAAGTAAGGAATAAAACTGTATTTAATTCTTTTTCTTTGGGGATAATGCAAGGGAGAGGCGGCTGCTCACGGTAAGGAAGCATCTCAGTGTCGAATCCGTGTCCCGGGGAGGGAAGGGCAGCCGCGGACAGGAAATGCCTCCGACCTCTTCTTGCTTTGATGTTTACTTCCTCACTAGAAGCCAAAGGTAAAGGCATTCGTCTTCAGAAGTAACGCCAGCTAACGATCTTTCAAGGCAGTCCAGCTCTTCCTTTCCAGTCTGCAGTGAGCACTTAAATATCCAGAACTTCTTTCTGAGGATCTTTGTTAGTTTCCAGATGAATGGGAATCTTGAACTTGCTTTCGTTGTTTAACACAGATGTGGCACGCAGAGCTCCCCTAACAAGCCTGTGACTAATTTTCACCCCGGTGATTAAATCCAAGTTGACCTAGTAACATTCCAGGTGAAAATCACATTGCACCAAAACTTTGAGATGATATGCAAACTTAATACAAAACTACCCTGTTGATTTGTTCTTAAATCAAAATACTAACTTTTTAAAAGCATCTGATTCATCAGCATTGTTCATCGCTAGTGAAGTGTTCCGTGAGAGGGGGACTGCGAAAGGGAACCCAGAATGGGGAGGCGGGTGACACAGGAACAGAAGCCAATGGCTAGTTGCATGCTGATGAAGTCAGCATAGTGAATGCTGTGTCTGCTCCCTCTGCCAAAGCTTCTAGGTCAAACGGGCCCCATTCTGCATCTGGAAGAGCTGTACGGAAAGAAGAATGAGACTGAACAGTAAGCACATCTACAGGAGCACATGTGCCTGTCTCTATGTGTGTGCATGTGGCTCATCAGCCAGCTGTACGTGAGGACCAAAATGCTTCAGTCTAAAATGGAAGATTTTACATGTTTGCCTTCAAAGTGCAAGTAAGAACTGAAGCCTCTTTTCCATGGCATCCAAATGTAACCCTTTTTGAGTACCAGTCTTTATTGTATTTTATTTTTCTTAGAACACAGATTTCCAGCTGACAGCTGGACATTTGTCACGGATAAGGTTTTGACCACGGTTTTTTTGCCGAACTAGAGAAGATGTCCATACACTTTGGATGTAAATGTGTTTATATTTATTTGAATGAAAGAAATACGAGGAAACATCCGCTGTTTGTCCTCTATTTTCATTGCTGTGTATTTTATTTAGAATAATAATAATTTTAAAAAAGTAGAAGCCACCGTTGACCCCGGGCCAGCTGGAAGCTCTGGGGACAAACCCAGCACTTCCAATGCAGAGGTTTCCATCTGCCCTCAGCCTCTGGCCCAGCCTATCTGTAGCCAGTTGAGAGCTCAGAAGACACCACAACCCACTCTTCTTCGAGGGGAGCTGGTGTGTGTAGCCTTGTGCACGGAGGTACTGTGAAGAGACACCCAGGAATTACCCCGCAAACACTGAAAATCTTTCACGGTCCCAGCAACCCGCCGGGCAAGGCTGCCAGTGCAGGCGCTGTGCTAACAGGAAAATAAAATCACCAGCTCAGGTGCATTTTCCACTGGAGGAAGAGACAGGAAAGAAATTGGTTTCATTAGGGCAGAATTATTAGACATTTTATAATAGGTTCCGTTGTCACCCTGGAAACACATGAGATCATTTTTAAAACAGTGTCCTCTGCCGTCTGAATCAAATACAGACACTCCCTCGTGACATTTTTCATCTAGCTGTAAAAGACCTTAGTCTTCCTCCTGTAATATCCTGGATTTAATTAAAACTCATTTAATTAAATGAGAGCTTGTTCAAAAGTCTCAGAGAACTGGTATTAATTTCATCAAAAAATGCAACACCACCAATATTGTTTTTAAATTCTTGGTGTGGTGTTTCCCTCCTTCTTCTCCTCTTTTTGTTTACAGAAGATGAATTTTTTTAAAGTAGGCAAATTGCTAATGAGCAATGATGACTTTTTCTTTACCAAAACTCTGAAAATAAGGGAGCTCCAGTGTCAAAGAAGCATGATATACTGCAGTGTCTTTTTCTAGAAGTGAATGGAAATCTCACTCGGTGGCATTTAAAGGAGGAAGTGAAGTGCTGCATTCTCCGGAGAGCACATTAACATTTTCCCCCAGAGTAGCAGAGTCTAGGACCCTTGTGAGCCGGGCTGTGATCTAGCATCAGATGTCTCCATGGAGCTGTGCTTGGCAGGAAATGAAATCATGCTCACTGTAACTGACCCTTGAATCAGTGTCTGGTCTCCCCACCCACCCACCCCTCTGTTTCATAAGAGATCAAATTTTTTTAAGAAATGACTTTTAAAACTACAGGTTCTGTGTGCTCCAGTTACATGTCTTAGAGATAATGTTTGCAGCATTGCTTTCTAAAGAAAGAAACCAGAAGGCGTGTTTCTGAGTCTTGGATGCTTAGTGCTTTTCCTTCAATGTGTTATTTTTAGACTCATTTTTAACCACGGCCACCGGACCGTGTTCACCTCACTTATCTGTTCACCAGTGTCTGCCTCTTTGGTACATACATTTTCTGTCTCCAAATTGCCTAAAATCTGCTATGATTCTCCAGTAAATAGCTCAGGGGATTTCTATTTATCACTACTAAAAGGGCACCATAGTATGTTTTGGTACTTTAGGCAGTGAACAGCTGCTTGACTTACTCTTTTATTATGAGGTTAGAACAAGACCATTCAATGGATTTGCTGCACTAGTTAATCTTTGTACTGTCCAGCAACTTGGTTTGCTTGTCTGTTGCGCTGGTTGAAGAACTCATCCCTCTTCTCATCTTGTAACATGAAGTTAGAGTGCCTTTTTATATTTGTATATTCTGAAAATGTTTCGTGAAACGTTTTGTATTTTTTCATTTGAGTGTTATCAGAGCAATATAATACCAGTGAGGTTTCATTTCAACCTTTCTTTGAATGTAGAGTGTGTTTTTTTTCCTACTGCCCCCATCTCTGCTTTGAAATGAAAATGCTGAAGTTTTCTATAGGAGTTATGTTTGATATTGCAGTGCTAAAATGCTTTCTTCTCACACAACTGTAAACCCTAGGTCAGTATTATAGGAGAAGAGCATTTTAAGATAGTGACAATCTAAGTGTGTGCATAAAATGTAATCATATGCATTTCTTATGCAGTGACCTAAAGGTTCAATGCAAGTATCTTTGGTAGTTTTGTCTACATCCTTTATGCTTTCGCATGTGCAATATATCTTTGCAAAGCACGGTGATACAAATCTGGTGCCAGTGTTATCTTTTGCATAACATATTTGTAACAGCCTAAAATGTTGTTTGATGATTTGGGTGGGATTTTGTCTGTAATGTTTTCTTATGTAAATCGGAGTTGGATGACTCTGGTAAATGTCATGACTGTAAAAAAATGAGGAAAACTTGGTTTTAGTTCAGTGAATGACTTGGAACCAATCTGACTCTTCTCAAGCACAGTTTAATACTTTTGCAACTACTGGATGCTCTCATAACATAATGAAGTACTTAACTGTATTATACTATGGAAATGCATTCAGATGGTTATTTTTACAAATAAAAGCGGTACACATATTGTTGCAATTTCTGTTTTCTTTCATTTTTCCAATTTCTGCTTTTTTCCAAAGTTTTGCTAATTTAAATCTTTGTCTCATCCTCAAGCCAAATTGACTTTAAATTTTGACAGTAAATAAGCTAGAAGGATATCTCCAGATTGGCATTGTGTGTATTATCACAATTAGGCAAAAAGTTTCAAATGTGTGTTTATGTTTATTATATTTCTTTCTGCCCCTAGCAGTTTCCATAAAGGGGTTCAGCTGACTTGCAGCAAGAGGCGTGTGATAAACTGAGCCTGAGTTTTCTCTAAGCTTCCTTGCGGCCAGGGCAGAGGGGATTTGATCGGTTATATGTTCACATGTGTCACGAAGGAGGAAGCAAACAGGTCCTCAAAATTGTGGCACCAACCATCCTTGTTGCTGACTCCACTGCCTGAGAGCTGCTCCAGAGCAACATTAGAACATTGCCACCAAAAGGAGCCCTAGAATTTCCTTCTCTGCCTGCCTCAACATCTCAAAGGTCTCCCTGTGGTAATGGCTTCATGGCCACTCCCTGGAAAACTAAGGGAGAAATTCCTAATGATGGCGTGGCCTGCTAATGAGATCTGGGGTGGTGCTGACCTGAGTTCCTCCAGTTGAGTGTCCTTGTCCTAGAATGTTAGCAGTTCTTACACTGGACCCCAGCTCCATCACTAGCCTTTTCACAAAGAAACTGAATCCGCAGAAGTTCTCTTGCTCAAATCTGCAGTTAATGACCTGACTATATCATGTGTGCCGCTAGATGTTCTCTCCTCTGCACCGTTCACGATGCCTTATGTTTTCTGGCAGAGATGTTTGGGAAGGTTCAGTACTCAGCCTGGCTTCTCTCCTTATTCAAATGTACAAATCTGAATGTTTTCCATTCTCGATGACCTGACCGTAAGCATAAGTCCTATCATCAGAGAGCACTTCCTGCCAATTTAGAGCAGACTGGGTATATTAATTATCTGTTGTTGTGTAACAAATTGCCCTAAAACCCAGAAGCTTACAACAACAAATGTTTAGTTTACTGCATCCCGAGCCAGTCATGGTTGAGCTGGGTTTGTGCTTGCAGAGAATATAATCAGGTGGATCTATCCCTAAGCTCGTTCGCATGGTTGTTGCCAGAGTTCTTCCTAGGTTGTTGGAATGAGGGCCTCAGTTCTGTGGTGCCTATTGGCTGCCTGTGTTGGATGGGCCTTTCATCCACAACCAGGTAGCTTGCCTCAGAGAGCAAACCAGCTGAGAAAAGCCAGACAGAGACAGAGCAATACAGAACTCTTGGTATTTTTGTAGGGGGGGTCTCAAAAGTGATATTCCATCATTTTTCTCATATTCTACTCATTAAAAGCTGGTCATCAGGTCCAGTCTATACTCAAGGGCAGAGGATAGCCAAAGCAGGTGAATACCAGGCGCCAGGAAGAACAAGGAGCTGTTTCTGGAAGCTGCTCATCTCCCTGGTCTACCACAGGGTCCCCTAGGGTGTAGCATCATACTAGAACACATTCCTTCCAATGATGGCTAAGGATAGGGCCTCGCCTGCCTCACAAGTGCAAGGTCCTGAGTTCAGTCCCTGGTACCGGAATTCCCTCATAGCAGAAGGAGATAATGGCCTCCACTGTAGTAATCACAGTGTCGAACGATGATGTAGCACTTTGTCTCCAAAGGATCAGGCTCTCTGCTTCCATTCAGAAGGTTCAGATTCCCATTCATCTAACCCTCGCTTCACACACTTAATGTGTCCTAGCATTAGCTTGCGAGGCACAGAAACATTAAGCTAAAAGGCTACTAACATAACATAAAAGCATTGTGGGTAGAAGTGCTGTGCCAATGGTCTCTTAGCAAATTCCATGCTGGAGGTACACTTGCTGTAAAATAGAAAGCAGCACTGCAGGGAGTGAATGGAAACGTGTGGGCACTTGTGGTTGGCACAAGGACTGGAGGTAGGGGGGTGGCACCAGCCATTTACTGTTCTGAGACCCAGGGGTGCTAAATACACCATCCAGCCCATGACCTACTGAGTCACCCACAATGCCAGTGCTCCTCCACCCTCTGCCCATCTGCTTATTCTCCTTTTGTTTCTGAATCTTTTCATCAACTTACAGTGGTACCTTAGTTCACAAACTCAGTTCTCTCCACAATTCTGGTCGCAAGCAGAACTGAAAGAGAGAGCCAAAACAAATTTCCCCATAGGATCAACATTGAACTTAACCATTAAATTTGACTTGGTTCTTGTCCAATTTGACCAGAATCATGGAAAGAATCAAGTTCATGCATCACCTGTGAAGCCAGTCATGTTTCTTTGCTTCCAAATGGAATTGCAGATCCTACTCTACTGTGCCTCCCCTATAAGGAGGACCTAGAAGCTCAAGAAGAACATTGGGAAACAGTGCTAAGCTCATGTGCTCTGGTATTTTTCCAGGAGAGACCAAATGCAGGTGAGTGGACAAGAGAAAAGTGCTGCGTGGGTTCAATACACGAATTTGATTCCTTTATTACCTGTATTGGTGAGCTTTGGGACACAGCCCCACACCCACAGCTTAAAGGAGGAGAGGCTTGTTTTGGCTCACAGTTGCCAGAGATTCAGTCCATGATTGATCAGCTCCAAGGCAGAAACAGCCTGGTGGAAGGGCAGGGCAGAGGAAAGCTGTTCACCTCATGGCAGCCAGGAAACAGTGAGAAGGGAGGAGCAAGGACAGGAATGCACCTTCCAGGTCCCACCCCCAGTGACCACCTTCACCCAAGTCCCTCCTAACAGCACACTCAGCTACTGTACAATTCAGTGGGGGAATCTAATGATGAGTACAGCACCCCATGATCCAGTCATGTTCCACAGGCAGCAGACTTCTGAGGGACATGTTTGATCTACATCCTAACAATGGCTAAACACAAAAGTGCTTGTTCGCACCCCTTGTCTTAAGCAAGGGGTGGTTGTATCCACCTGTCAAGTGGGGAAACTTCTGCTCACAGATGGGGGGCTCTGGGCCACAGAAGTCCTACAGCCAGGCCTGGCAGCACAGCACTGCGGCCCCGTGTGGTTTTCTAGGCTCTGGCGGGCATAGGTCTCTAGGCTGCCAGTTTCTACTTCTAAGTGACAACTTGGTGTCTATTCAAATTCCAGATGGGATTGATAATTTTCAAAAGTAAAGACGTTTAAGTAGTACTTAGGGCACAAAAAGCTTACCTGTGTTTGCACTCACTTGGTAAACCACTTGGCAAATTTGAGAACTTTAATTACTCACATTTCTTATCGTTGAGGTTCCTGAAAATTGCAAAGATTAAAGCACAGATCGTAACCACGAGAAGCTGCCAGCTACCCACAGATCAGGGAAGGGACTGCGGTGGCAGACGGCATCAGTTGCTTCCAGGAGGCGACACGTACGGCAGAGGAGCTGATCCCTGGATCACACACACAGCTCATCAGAGACCCTCGCATGGGTAAGAGCATCAGGGTGGGCCGCAAACCCACAACAGCAGCAAGGACAGCAGGAGAGAGAAGCACAGTGAGGTGCTAGCTAGCGGGGATGTGGGGCCGGGAAGGACATTTGTTTTTACCAGATGTAACTTATTGGTGGTGAGGGAGGTCTCGGAGAAAGAGTAATTTTGGAGATCATACTTTTAGAGCAGTAGAGGAGGATTGCTGAGTAAGGTTTACTACACTTGAGATTTATGACCATGAATTTAAAATGATACAGTTTTTCATCTGATGTTCCAGTGCAGGCATAAAGTAAATAGAAAGTACAGTTTAGCTGAGGCAGAGCTTTCCCCGCTGAGCCCCAAAAGAGGGCGGGCTGTGGAACCATACTGCTCTCAACAGACGTGAGTCTGTGGATTCCAAACTGGGTGATAGGGAAGTCGAGACAGGAGAGAGGAGATGGTTGAAAAAAGAGGTCCAGACAGAGACCTTGACGGGATGGAATCCTTGAGCTGTAGTAGCAGAGCCCTTGATGTGGACAGGGCGCTTACAGTCAAGGTTTCAGAAGGGCGCGGCTTTGAGGACGTAACCCCAGGAGCGGGTGGTTGAGGGTAACCGGGGGGGAAAAAGCCCTGAACGGAGTCAAATGGTGGGAGGCCAATATGATGAACGGCTCAAAGCCATTTAGCAAAGGATTTGAGAGAAGTTGCCCATTTCAAACTGTCAATTATTTACATATTTTATTAAAAATAGACACAAAGCTGATTTTTTTTTTTTGTACCGGCGATCGAACTCGGGTCCTTGCGCTTTCGAGGCAGGCGGCGAAACCACTGAGCTAAATCCCCAGACCAAGGCTGATTTATTGTCAGACTGAAATTTGGTTTCAGGGTTAAGATGAAGCTCTTCAGTTTATTTTACCGTACTGGGGAATGGTCCCTGGCCCTCGAGCATGCTAGGTGAGCGCCCTGTCCCTGAGCTACATCCCCAGTGCCTCTTCCCCTTTTTTGACATAAGGGCTTGCTAAGTCTGAACTTGCAGTTCTCCTGCCTCAGCTTTCCAAGTAGCTGGATTTACAAGTGTGCGCCACCACGCCCAGTGGGATGAAGCTTTTAAAAAATGGTCAACTGCACCTCGGTGCAGAATCCAGTGCGACATGACAGGTTTTATGACCAAATGGCTCAACTTAAATGTGTTTATCAGGCTCACCAGAAAACAGGACAGATGGCTCAGAGCTGCCAATGAGCAAAAGGCGCCTGCAGAGGAGACAAATGTCTTAGAGAGAAAATGAAAAATTGAATACTTCCTGGTGGACCTTCCTCAGAGAATGAAAGACTCAAACTATTGGAATTCTGTATTGCTCTTTAAGTGAAAACTCAGTTTGCTTCAAAACATTAACCTTTCCTGAAAAATCTCAATTTTTTAACTATAAAAATAGAAAGGGAACTTGGGTTTATAATTCTCTTTTGAATTTCTCTTTTTCAGAAATGGTTTCTTCATTCTTCTTTTTTTTGGTCCCAGGGATTGAACTCAGGATGAAACCACTGAGCTAAATCCCCAGCCCAGTTTCTTCACTCTTAATGCCACATTTTTATTTT